GAGAGAGAGAGACTGAGAGAGAGAGAGAGAGAGAGAGAGAGAGACTGAGAGATGAATAACAGAATTGTTTGAGTAATGAATGGACGCCTCAATGAGTTTCTTATTTGCGAGCAGAGAATGCCATCACTAGTGTATGTCTGGAGCTACCAGTGCTGTTGTTGTGTGGCACTGGTAGCTGTGCACTAGGGTAACGGGTATTATTAATTTCCACCCTGTCAACTTTTGTCTCTCAAATATCAATTGCTTTGAGTCGCAGAGATAGCGAAGTGTGAAAAAATTTCTTACATTTCTCTCTCATATTCTAGTAATACATATAAGATATATATTTGTTTGAAATGAGATGAATGTCAGCCCCTATGCCATGACATGCCTGTCCTCTCGACTGTAAATCGCGAGTCATATAATGAAAATTAAATTTTTTGCTCCCTTTTTGTCTTTTATGGTATTCTAGCAAAAAATCATAAGTAAATAAATACAAAAGTAATACTTTGTAGTTATTAATAAATGGTTTTGTGTTTAATTTTCTCATTACAAACAATAATGTTATATAAGAATATTCTGCCGTATAAATTTATTACAAAACACGTAAAGAATTTGTGTGCAAAATATATCACAAATTTCGCGTAAAATGATTGCAAAATAAAAATTTTTATTTCACTAAAAATTTCTAACAAATAAGTGTAAAGTTTTTTTTCTGGCGATAAGACTTTTTACAAAATATATTTTTTTTGAATAAAATAACTTTTTTTTATATGAAAAGCTTTTTATATATTTTTTGTACACTTTTGGTATACAAAAGCGTTTTTATAGAGAGAAGTATATATCAGACGAAAAAAATGTAATGAAAATCATTTTTGGGCTGTTATGTCATAATGTTATTTATGGTCAAAGCGTGTCCCTATTCAATGGGACTGGTATTACTGGTGTGTCTGTTATCTATTTGTGGACATTCACAGAGCACCGGCACTTTCTTTGGGGTCACTCTCGATGGTGACGTCCATTTGACTTATACTGACTATTCATGCAGAAGTACCTGATAAGGACCCTGTAATACATATTATATGTAATACAAAGGCACTAGTATTCTGTATAGATATTGTGTCATATTTTTGTTGCATAAGAGAGAGACTGAGAGAGAGAGAGAGAGAGAGAGAGAGAGAAATTCTTTTATATTAGTATTATACTAAAAACAGTATTACTGAATTTATTATTGATATTAATTATTTATAAAATTATAGTTAATTTAATTGATTATAAGTTATTTTACTAATTAAATATAGTTAAGAAATACTAACGAGTAAGAATAAAATTATTTATTTATTTAAGCCAATATAAAACTTATTATATTAATTCCATGTATTTGTCAAATCCAATTATTTAAATATCAAATAGCATAATATATTTTAATATGTCAAAAAATATATTTACAGTTTCTAATAATAAAATAATATTACTAAACTACTGTATGTTTTGTATGGAATAACTATAGCCATAAATATTAACTATCAAATATTGATATAAATATACAGTAGGATATTATTTACTCATATGTCTACACCTGTTAAATAATACGAGTGTTTGTTACGATCTATGTTTACATACATTTGGCCTCAAAATCATGTAAATTATGACAACTTTTTCTCAGACTATACTTAAAATCTGTATTCAATTCAGCGTTAATAGGCTTATGAGATATACACTCGTATTGAATACAATGATTATGTTTATCATAAGAATATGTATTTATATGAACACTAGTAATACCTATGAGTGAATGCAAACCTTTTTTATGGTGAGAGTTGCCATTTTCAATGGTAGTCGGGGGCGGAACGGTAGGCACACAATGCGCTGGTATACCACCAAAGGCAGCCCCTCCCGGATACCAGGGCGAGGGTCGGGGCCAACTCTGGCCGTTGAGTATACGGAGCTTATCGTAGACAGCGTCGGCAGCCTGGGAATGGGTCTGTTGCTCCTTTTGAGCCGCGAGATTACGGAGGACCCGGTTTATCGACGACACCTACGCATGGATTATAACATATTAAGGATTAGTCGTGAAATTTTGGGGGTAATCTAGACTTGGATTAAGAATTTTAGGCGTTTTTAGCGATAATTCCGTGAATTCTGTGTAATATTCTGTAAGTTTTCTATGGATGTGACCCATAGAGTGGACTATTAATAGTGAAATAATTGTGTGAATAGTTGCGATGTTTGGACAGGAATTCATAGGAAAGCCGTTTTCGCGTGAAATGCATTAATCACTCGACGCTTAAAATAATTGTGACTTTGGTTTTGATTAATATTTTTCGTGGCAAATAGTTTTGTGTGTTTTTCTGTTGTTATGTTTATGTATTTGCGATGCAAAGTATTTGCGGTATTTTTGTGCCCTTTATTAACACAAATCACTGCTATGTTTGGTATGAACTGGTCGGTAGACACCCGGGGCTCACGCACACACACCAACATTGCTAATATAAAAATCATTTATTATACAAACAATTACATGTAAATCTTGTACAATTAAATTTATTTTAAATAGTCATTAAAAATATTAATATAAGAATATTAAAATTATTTTTCCCTAGTTAACAAAATATTTTAGTGTTAAACATGGTTTATTAAATTGTAAATGTATATACTGTATATAAATAATGATGTTTAAAATTTGCCAGCATGGTTATCTGAACAAGATTTGTTGTGATAAATGTATGCAAAACATGAGTGCATTTATGTCTCAATTAAATAGACTATTTTCTCGCAACCATTGGCATTGATATTAACGTCAAAAAAATCTGATATTCATCTATAAATCGAAATGTTTTAGCGTTAGAGTAGAGTATAAGTAGCGGAGAGAGAGAGAGAGAGAGAGAGAGTGTGTGTTTTTCTGTTGTTATGTTTATGTATTTGCGATGCAAAGTATTTGCGGTATTTTTGTGCCCTTTATTAACACAAATCACTGCTATGTTTGGTATGAACTGGTCGGTAGACACCCGGGGCTCACGCACACCAACATTGCTAATATAAAAATCATTTATTATACAAACAATTACATGTATTACTTGTACAATTAAATTTATTTTAAATAGTCATAAGTATATTAAAATTATTTTTTCCCTAGTTAGCAAAATATTTTAGTGTTAAACATGGTTAGTAAATTTTTATTTTATTGAATCGTAAATGTATATACTGTATATAAATAATGATGTTTAAAATTTGCCAGCATGGTTATCTGAACTAGATTTGTTGTGATAAATGTATGCAAAACATGAGTGCATTTATGTCTCAATTAAATCAACTATTTTCTCGCAACCATTGGCATTGATATTAACGTCAAAAAAATCTGATATTCATCTATAAATCGAAATGTTTTAGCGTTAGAGTAGAGTATAAGTAGCGAAGAGAGAGAGAGAGAGAGAGAGAGAGAGAGAGAGAGACTACAGACTGAATTGTATTGTAATGCAAATCGAGTCGAAATTGGATTTTTACAGTTCAATAAAGTTATATGTCTTTAGTCTTACGCCACTGTTCTCTACCCTATAATAAATGGATTGATTGTATGCTCTCTTTATGTATGAAAAAATGTATACAAACTCTAAGCGAAAAATTTTTGTCACATTTTTCCATTGAGAATAAGAACGGGTTGTATGGGTTTGAGGGGAACTGCCATTTGTTTCTCATAGGGATATGGCGTCGACAGGACTTGTAATGCATTTATTTAAACATATTTTTAATACAGTATTTAAATCGTTAAATACATTAAGCATTGTGTGTATATTTCTATCATAATGCTATCCTTTCTATAAATAAGTTATAAATGGTCTCAGATTATAGGCAAATAACTAGCTTGGTAAGTTAGAGTGTCAATACAATTATGAAGTTAACATATAAATAGGTAAACAATTAACGACACGACTGTCCACTACGTGTCCTAATCTAACATATCGTTTAAAAGTGAAATCTATTTTTTTGTGAGAAACGTGTTGTCGACCCAAACGCACAATACATAAGCCCTAAAGCGGTTGGTTTCGGTCGAGCCGTACAATCCCTGTCCCCTTCGCCTCCTATTTTATATTCAATTCTCTCGTCTATTATATTATTTTTTTCATTCAATTTTTACGTTTAGCTTTCTTTCACGAGAAAAATATTGTACTTTTAACGCATGTATCGAATTGTATATTATATTTATTGTGCGGTTTGTTTCACCCCGAAACGATTGGGAGAGAGAGAGAGAGAGAGAGAGAGAGAGAGAGAGAGTCAAAAGCTCCCTGGTCATTAGTCTTAGGCAGTGGTGGTGTGACGTGCCTTACATTTAGGATCGTTTAAAATGTGTTTATTATTGTATATTTCGCTACACTTTCGGTGAATTAGTTTACTTCACAAATGGCTTTCAGTTTCGCAAACAATTGCAATGATTTGCAGTCAATATATAGTTATGTTTTGGCAGTAATTTGTTGAGAATTTATACATTAATAACTTCATAAATCACAGAATCTTAGCACTAATTAACGATTCCTTAATTCACGAAAGAATTGTATTGTTTGTAACGATTAGAATATTCTATGATTAAGAATACATGCGTTAAGAATATACAGTATATTATAATTTATGTTGTGCTGAGAGGGGGAGTGTATGCCAGAGAGCACTGGTATTACATGACTATTAACAGGAAAAATGAATTATAAGAGTTGTGTTGCGATCACAACATTGTCGCTGACATTCACTGTAACAACAATTGTGTGTTCATTACTGACTGCGAGAACACAATATATAATGAATAACACAATTGAGTACAAGAGAGAGAGAGAGAGAGAGAGAGAGAAAGTGATGAACAGTTGAGAATTTATACATTAATAACTTCATAAATCACAGAATCTTAGCACTAATTAACGATTCCTTAATTCACGAAAGAATTGTATTGTTTGTAACGATTAGAATATTCTATGATTAAGAATACATGTAGAGAGAGAGAGAGAGAGAGAGAGAGAGAGATACTGTGAATGAATGATAGGGAACGGGCGATGAGACTGACTACCAGTGCTCTCTGTGACAGTGAGAGCGCCGGCACATCAAGAATAGGGAGAGAATGGAGAGAGAAAGTGATGAACAGTTGAGATGAACAGCGAATTGAACGCAGGGTTTGTCTGGAAAGTCGAGTCGAGACCAGAATTTTTGGGCTCACAATGAGATGAGAGAGGAATTGGAGGGAACAGTATGTATGAGAGAAATAGTTTGGCGTTCATTACGTAAGCGTCCTATCATTGCGAGATCATAGAGTGGTAGTAGTGAGCAGGGTAATTACAATTAACTACTATTAAAACTCTTGGGGTTTATTAAGTGTACTGTATGGCGATTAAGCTAGCTAGGTATGTGATTAAGTTATGTGATTTTAGATGCAATTAATTAAGCATGGTGATATGGTATATGATTTGTGCGACAATTGTTTTTGTAGTCAGCAATTATTGTGTGTGTGTTTGACGTGAAAACCACTACTCCCTGGCCATCTCTGGTACTTTTCACAGTGTATATGTGTGTTAGACATCGATTATATTGATCCCATCCCTATGCAGAATGGATGTGCGTTTGACTTTTCACAATACATACCAGACATTAGATGAGAGAGAGAGAGAGAGAGAAATTCTTTTATATTAGTATTATACTAAAAACAGTATTACTGAATTTATTATTGATATTAATTATTTATAAAATTATAGTTAATTTAATTGATTATAATTAGAAATATGATAACACTTTGCATTCAATTACTATTCCCTCCAATGAATTGTCAATTGATATAAAAGTCATTGAGAGAGAGAGAGAGAGAGAGAGAGAGAGAGATTAAGTACTTGGAGTTGAATATAAGTTTTAGCTCCCATTCTCTCTCTTATAGTTTTTGATTGTGTTATTGAAACGATTGTTTAGCTTATTATGCGATTAAAAGCACTGGCATTACATTCATTCATAATGTATTCCCTATGAATACAATGCATGTGAATATTTATTTTCATAGATTCTTATTATAAACATTGAATTTCTATAATAATATTCTTAAACACTTTCATTACATACAATATATCGATATAAATGATAATATTTTTTGTGTTGAATATTATTGTGTTTTTAGGGATTTTCTGTACTTTCAGTATTAAAATCATTTCATTTTTTTGTTAAGACTTTTTTGTGTGTCATATAATGGCAAATAGAAAATGAGATTTTCATTAAAAACTGAATTTTCATTTTCATACTCAAAGATAATGTTATGATAGGCTATTGAATGGAAATAAATACTATTCATTCAAAATATGAAATCACTTTTTTCTGGTGACAACTATTTTTTCACTGTAAATCAATTTCTCTTTCAAAAATATGCTGTTATTGTGTGTAAGAAAAAAGTTTTGAGAAATAATAGTTATCCGAAAAATACGATTACAGGGCTTGGAGTGTAGGGTTGGGTGCGTTTTGGGTATCAATAAGATATATCGGTGTCAAACACCGCCGACCATTCCCTGTATATATATATATATATATATAAGTTATATATCTGTATACATATATTCATATATTCTATACACAATATGTGTATTTATATATTTGTCTTTATACTGGTTGTACAGTACGGATGTGTTAAATGTGTTACTACTCTATGATTATAAGCTTAAGACTACGGCTTTAACTGAACCGTCGACTCAAATACTTGTGTCAAAAAATACTTATAACAGTAATAATAATATTAATAACATTTAAGCACTGCTTTTAGCGCATAGTTTAGTGAATTGTATTGAGAGAAATGTGTTGTGTTTAGTGTTTAGCACAGAATATAATGAAAGTGAGAGAGAATTGGTTGCGAGAGAGCGAGAGAGAGAGAGAGAGAGAGAGAGAGAGAGAGAGAGAGAGAGAGAGCACATAGGGATGCAAATGTGTTGTATATTTAAAAATCGGTGGCAATGGTAAGTGATATATCACCCAATTATTACAATATGAGCCAGCACAATGGGCCCTGGCGCGTTGACAATACCCAACTGTCAGCGGTAATGTCCGCCCATTTTTTCGCTGTTTGACACGTTGTATACCCGGGCTGTTAAGGAACTGGTCGTTAAAAATACTTCATCGCTATTGTATGCAAAGCCTCTTTTATGGCGTACAGGCGCTGGTATATTATGGACATACAGTGGAGAGTGTCAGTGCATTTCGCACCTAAACATATGCCGATGACATACAACTTAATCCCATTCCTCTGATGCCGAAAAGAAAGGTTAATCCAATTGAGTCATCAGACAGTGTATGTACTCAATGACTGCACCACTCTTTCTCAAGTGACTACTCAGTCAGCACTGGATTAAAGTCCTGTTCCCTACCGACCGATAGACACCCCTCGCGTAACTCCCGCCGAAAATATGACACAATATATTGTGGATTATGTTTTGGATGTCAAACATAGTTTTCAAGTGTTTGATACACGAAACTAATTGCAAGTGTTTGCTATGAATACTGTATGACTGTATTTGTGTTAAATTTATGATAGTTATCACAGAATCTCATTAGGAATTGCATAGAATATGATAAACACTTGAGAATCGTATTGAGAATAATATTGTAAAGGATTTCAAAATAATTTTTAGGCTAGCTAATAATATACTTAACTTTTGCTAAATTATTTTTGTAACATTAAAATATTATATAAATTGCATTGCAAATAGCGATCAAAAATGTAGACTTTTAATTGATTTGTGTAAATAATTGGATTTTATTTGTGATTTAATGACACTTTTGCCAAACGTTTAGTAAATACTATTGACTTTTTGTGTCCGACTTTTAAAGGGAATATAATTTCACAGCATTTATACGAAATTAAATGCATATTTAGGGCCAGACTTTGTGAATGCAATGGTTGTGTTAGTACACCGTATGTGACCTTTTGGTCTGACTTTTTCTATGCCATAGATTTCGGCAACTTTTATGGGCTCCCGGAGCTAGTGTTCAGTCAAAAGCTATCGGCGCTCTCAGCCGCTAAACACAACAATAAAAACTTTTTTCACCAAAATATTAATTGTGGACCAAAAATATGAAAGGCTATGGTATATGGCAGTAGTGGTCGGGCAGCTCCAGCAGCACCGGGTGTGTTGTCACACATATCTGTATCGCCAAAAACATAACACAATGCGTGACAACTAAACACTGAGAGCTATTGTGGGACTTCAATGGCTTATCGATAGCCCAGTACAAGAGGTTATGTGCTCTCTCTCTCTCTCTCTCTCTCTCTCTCTCTCTCTCTCTCTCTCTCTCTCAGCCATTGAATGGTTAGTGACATATACTCTGTAAGGACTGACTCACACACTCTTCTAAACGGTTTGCCATCAAAAACGGGTCGACAAAAACATTATCACTGAATGAGTGCTGCATTCAATGACTTCTCGAGAATAAGGAATAGAAAAAAGTCAGAGAGAGAGAGAGAGCATGAATTATACGCTGGTTTTACACCAATTTTATGATAAAATGTGCCAAATTTGCAGATTATATGCATATAATGCAAAAATAGATGTTTTAAACACATTATTAAACTTTCTTGAAACTTATAACTAGAAACGAAAATTAGGCTTTTAAACAAAATTACATTATTAATGATTAATTAATGAATGTTTGGCTCATTAGATATACGAGTTGTGAACACAATGGGAGCCAAACATACAAAACACGAAAATATTTGTTAAATATCTTAAACATATTAAACATATTTTACGCGAAATTCACTGAATATTTATGTCCTGTTGTAATGAAATATAATGCGATTATTGAGTGTCAAAAACACACATACGATATCCCTATCCGTATGGCACCGACAGTCGGGCACTGGACTGTCGTTCAAATGTATGTGTGTTTCACACGACAAAGAATGTCTAAAATGTGAGTCAAATATAGTCAGCAATGAAATCATCAAATGCTGTGGTTTTGATGATATTAGCATAGATTGTATGCTTTGTTTTCGGGGTAATAGAGTTGTATTTATGTGATATGCCGGCGCTCATGGCACAGGCATATCGCATACACACACCGATTGCAAATCTCGTGTGGGTCTCGCAAATTGGCTTAACCGCCAATTCTGGCAGTGCTGGTGAATGGCCCTAATTCTGTGTAACACTCGCCACTTACTGACTGCTGTGAATATACTGAGCTACCAGTGCTCTCATTGACTGCCAATACTGTCTGATGTTAAGGGTATTGAATAAGTTAAGAGTTATACACGACTACCACTAATACACGTATATATTTGACGGTTAATAGAGAGATATATAGCGAGAGTCGAAAAGTTTTCAGGTCTCTCTCTCTCTCTCTCTCTCTCTCTCTCTAATACTAGTGATGACTACTCGTTAATAGATGTATTGGCACACAAAGCAAATTTGTCTACAGTTTAGCTACTGGTTCCCCAAATTTTCGCACAGTTGTTGGCAAAAACACATACTGAGAGCCATGAGAGAGAGAGAGAGAGAGAGAGAGAGAGAGCTGGAGAGAGCAATGTGTCCAAAGAAATTGACTCTCAATTTGTTGTTCATCGAAACGAAGTGGTGTTTCGCACTCACAAAACACACACAAATATATTCAATGAATACATAACAACATTATTCTGCGGCCACTAATGTAGTGATGAGTTTAGTGGTAGTGATTGTGGCAGTGGTTGTCGTCTCCCATCACTTACTCATATGGCTGATGGGCGCCCACCTAACACTCGCACAAACATAGGAGTGCTCACAAGTATTAACATTCAATTTAATTGATTGCTTTTTTGGGTCTATCCATGAGATCAAAAACCACTGAATATCTAAACGCTATGTGTTTTAAGCGTGCATTTCGTGCGGCAATAGCTTTCAATTGGATTGAAAACTCCACGCATTGAGTATTTAATCAAAAGAGTATATATAACTCAATAATACATAAGCGGTAAACAGCGTTATATAATGTGTATATTGAAGTGATGAGGGTCACTTACGGATGGTACGTTATCATTGGTGCAGCATCCCTCGGACAGCAGCCTGTCCCTGATCTCCCAGGCGAATATGGAGGGGCACTCGCGCTTATAATGGGCTATCTTACTGACCACGTCGTTGGTGGCCACCCGGGGCTTACTGCCCCCGATCGCCCGGGGCCTTATTGAACCCGTCTCGTAATACCGGCCCAATATCTTGGATACACAACCATTGGACACCTGTTTGGATGTAAATATATGTTGATTACATAAGTGGGTGACAATTTTTAGGGTGTAGTTCCCCACGTACTTGTAGTATTCTGGATATATCGCAGGGTCGGGCGCCACTGTGGGCCAGTTCGACAATTTTTTGTCGCGTCGAGTCGGGCAGTGGCCGTCCGTTGACGTATACGCCGCCCAATTGGTTTATGCCCGAATGACCTGGATCGTTGGGTATAAATAATAGTTATGTTTAGTATACGGTGTCATAAAAGCTATGTTTTGCGTATAGAAATCGATAGATAGCTGTGACTAATGTAACGATAAATTGTTTTTTAACAACTAATTAATGCTATGATTACTATAAATATATACACGCATTGAAAAGCGGGTGTTAAAACGTGTGGGAAAGTGACCACAACTTTGCTGGACATGGAAGTAGGAGTAGTAAGGGGTATGAGGTGTATGTATGAAGTGTGTAGTAAACGCACCATTGGTTTAGTGTTGGAAATATAATTGAAATTATTTATTGCCAAACAATGTCTGTCTATAACCACAGCATTACATATGAGTGGCTTAAAGGCATATAACCTTTGGTGCGTTCACTCGGAATTAACTGTACAAATGTGTGGACACATGTGATTAACACTGTGTTCAACACTTTCTCTCTCTCTCTCTCTCTCTCTCTCTCTCTCCTCCACATAACACACAATACACTGACAACTGATTGTGATGTTGTTATTGTGTTTGATAGACATTTGATGGCATATAATGTTGTCATTGCATTACATTATCTGACAGTTGTGTGGATCACCTGTTTGTGTTCACTACAGGATTCAAATGAAGGGAACAGTCGCTGAAGATTATCACAGATCCCAGTGCTCTATGTGTGTATGGATAGCATGTGTTGGTCAGGGATTTAGGGTTACAGTTAATCATGGGTTTAGAATATCAATACATAAAGAGTTATTTGGATTTTTAGATTGAGTTTTGGATTTAGATTTTGGTTTATATAATAAGTTATGTTACATTGTGTACTAAAAGTCTCTCTCTCTCTCTCTCTCTCTCTCTCTCCAGTCAGGCCTTTGATGTCAATACAAATTGTGTCGAAACCCTTAACTACTAGTTGTTGAGTGATATTATTGTTAAGCCATCAAACGGACAGACATTTGCACTGAAAGCTAACAAATATCTAATATTCGGCACATTATTCTCGAGCTCCCATTCCTTGGCATCCATTCACTCTCTCTTATAAATATATATATGATTTTCAATGTCTTCCCTTCTGGTGCTATCATTTGAGTCGATGCTTACAATGTATTTATATATCAATAGCGAGTGTGTGAGTGAGCGGTACGACCACCACATGGATGGTCGTGGATGTGCCGGCGCTCACATCCGCCATTCAGTTGTCAATCAAAAGGCCAAAAGTGAATACAATTTTCTGTATGTATTTCACTGTCAATGGTATAGCCTTTCCATTCATTCTATTAGCATCTCTTGTCATATATATTAGACATACTATACATTGGAGTCTGACATGCATTCAGAGCCCCTGTATTCTCAATGTGCTATACTATGCCACTGACATACCGTACAATAGTTGTACACAAGGCTATAGTTTAGGCACAAAATATTTCCTGAATATTATTTTTCGTCAATCAATACATCGCTTGTATCACACAATCAATGAATTTCTGTGTGAATATAGCGTTGAATGCAAAGTAAATTGTATGTAAAAATGTTCTAGTTCACTTTATTATAATCAACCTAATTTTGTTTTGATATAAATTTGTTATAGTTGTAAGTATTAGGTTTACGCGTTTAATCAGGTATAATTTTATAGACAATTTAATAATTGAATTACGGTTTATATTTATTATGAATTCAAATTATTGTGGATTTTTAGTGTTAATTAAATTGTATTGCAATTAGGAGTTTGATATTTAAATTTGATACACAGAATCGTGAATATATTTACGTTGAATCTTGATAATTTAATCTCTCTGAAATTAAATGAATTTAAATAACTAATAACTAAATTAAACCATAAAATATTTACTGTAAATGCAATATACAAGTTATATTTGCGATTAAATTATTAGATACCAAACATATTATGTATGATTTGTTTGCATTTCCTAGACTTTTAGACTTGATTTTCTCACCATTTGATTATGAAAATAGTGACTAAACTTTGAAAAATTAATAATTATTTTATACACAATCGGATTATGCAATAGATGTGTATTATTCACAGAAAATATGGGAGAATAGGGAGGAATGGGATTGAGATATGAATGAATGAGAGAAATATTAGTGTAAATATGAATTTCAATAATAATTTAATAAACATTTGGGTAAAAATAATTTAATTACAAATGCATAGTATTATACACGATGTATAATATTGCTATGAATTGCTTGTTTTGGATCTCAAACATATAGCCATAGTATAGCCGACACGAGACTATTCATTGCATTATTTATCATAATTTAAGTCAAAAACTATGGCTTAGGAATAGAGTGAATGGAAAGGCTATACCATTGACAGTGAAATACATACAGAAAATTGTATTCACTTTTGGCCTTTAGATTGAGTTTTGGATTTAGATTTTGGTTTATATAATAAGTTATGTTACATTGTGTACTTGAGAGAGAGAGAGAGAGAGAGAGAGAGCACCGGGAGTTGAGTAGTGGATTCAGTTCATTGACTAACAATGGGGACTATTGTTAACACAACGGGCTATCGATATCTCGTTTTTCACATTTTCAATATTAAATGATTGCAATAATGATAATAATAATAATCCAGCACAAAAGGGATCGTAATATAAAGCGTTTTACACTTTTTCGGCTATTCATATATTTTTGAGTATATTTTTGTCCGTAAAAAGTATTTTTGCCTAAAAGTCATTTTCAGACATCCAATTGAGAGTGCGATTTCAAATGCAAACCAATTCATACAAGTTTTTGATATCATTTAAGTTTTTAATCCCTATTGTTAGCGAGTATTATCTCAAATATTTAGCTTTTAATTGAAAAACTCTATGTAATGAAAAATATTTTCTATCATAAAGTGATAATTTTAAAAGTTAGCATGGCGATAATATAAATATTTACAAAATAATGTTATTTATTAAATTAATTTATTACTTATAGTAATCATAGCATTATTGATGATATAATCATATTAACGCTTATTATATGAAATACTTGCTACTACTACCAAGTAATTCAAGAATATTCTTAATTATAAGCTAGTACAATAATAAAACTAAATGAAAAGTGTATGATAAATAAGTGGTAAGTATGGTTGGGTGTACCGGTGTTATGGTATAGGGATGAGTGCATACCCTTGTGAGGCATTCTGCAGTGATCCTGAGGTGAGAGCCCAACCGCCGCCACCACTGATGCCGTTGTGGGGAACAGTAGCCGAGTAAATGAGTTCTCAATAGCAACTGATTATTATGGCAACTATTATGACTATTATGGTTATGATTATTGTCCGTCAATAGTGTGTTGTCTACACTGTGGTGTAGGCGCTCAAAATAATTGTGATGTATTTGTGGCCAACTATTGTCAGCTAATAATGCGATTATATCTGTGAATGAAATTCAAATATGCATGGTTAGTATTTTGGTTTAATTCAATAAATTGTTTATAATTTTTTTTTATTTTTAATATTTTTTTGCTACAGAATATTCTTAGAGTGCTTTTGTCAGGAATTTTAAATCAATAAACATATGTAGGAATGAATGGTATGAAGAGAATTGAATACAAAATATTATTATAATGCTTAACAAATAGAGAGTAAAAATGTATTCATTTTTTCTCGGATATAAAAATAGTTTTTCTCCAAAATGCAAACAATGCGATTGAGAGTAAAAATATGTATTTTATTTATTATGTATAAAAAGTACGCCAATGTCTGAGTTAAGGGAGGGTTATGCTAGGGTATTATGTGGTAGGGTATGGTAGAGAGAGAGAGAGAGTGCGATTTCAAATGCAAACCAATTCATACAAGTTTTTGATATCATTTAAGTTTTTAATCCCTATTGTTAGCGAGTTAATCGGCGCCAGAGGTTTGGATGAGAGGGGGAGTGGAAGTCAAGGATTGGTTCAACTCAGACACCACTGTCGGTGAGAGAGAGAGCTATACATAGCTATGTCTAGAATTTATGAGAAACTTATATTAAATTATAAAATCAATACATTTTGTTAATGAAATTCTTAAGCTTTTATGTTCTGATATACTAATAATATTGCAAACATTTATAAAACCAATAATATATTGATTTAGATAAAGCTAGCATGGACGTTTAAGTCTGATCCCGATCATTTCCCTTAAAAATATAAATGATTGCACAGATTCTGTAGGCAATAAATGTTGCAAAAAAGGACTTGAATATTATGAGTACAATAACGATGATGACTATCCATAAGGAATGCGAGACTCAATGAACACCGGGAGATATGGATAGTTAGATGGGAAGGGGAGACATACAGAGTGATAGTGGAGTGCACTGTAAGCCAAAGGGAAAGGCAGACAATAAGAAAAAGAGAGAAAATGCGAAACAATTTGATGTTTAGGTTCGCAACAAAAGGCTCACTTCAGTGGCAAATAGTTTTTTATTCTCCACTTATTATGACTACAAGAATATATACTCAACATTAGAGACATAAGAAAATTGTACGGCAAAAGTTGTAAGGTCATTTCACATACACTACGAGAAAATCATTAAATTTTATGGTAAACACTATGATACTTTGCGCTAAAAATAGTTTATTATTTTATTTTCTAATGTTATTCATATAAAGAGTTTTTTGTGAAATGTATTTTTTCTGTATGTGTATTATGTCTGATATTTTTGTAGTTTATTAAAGTATTTAAAGTATGGCATTAAATGTACAGTATGACAAAATAATGATATTTAATTGTAACATTCAGCTCCAAATTAATTAACATTGAATTCAATCATAAATATATTTTTAAGCTGAAGTCATATTTACAGTTTTACTAAACCTGTATTAACCCAAACCCTATATAACATAATTTCAATCAAATATAATAATATTATCACCAAATTAATCATTCAATTAAAAAATCAATTAATTTCTAATAAAATAAAAATGTGATATTTATTTATAATTCGTTTTACACTCGGATTTGTTGGACACAACAGAAACTAAAGTAAAATAAATATATTTTCACCAAAACTTTGTTGATTGCAATCACGGGTTTGTGTTATGCTTTTCATATCGACTGTAAGGCCTATGGTATGAGTGATGAGAATATTGAGTGCAAATCATCGCCGATTAGCTTACAGTCCACTGAATCCGTGACACTATCTGTGCTTTTAGTCTCTCTCAGTCCACATCCCTATCCCCTCTATCCCTATCTTATATGAGATGATGACTATTGAGACCCTAAAAAAGTGCACTGATATGTGTATGGCGAGCACCGGTATCACTCTTAGACACATAGGCTGTGTGTTTTAGTTACCCCCAAGGAATAGTTTCCTTTAATAAGGGATCAGTAGTTTTGGTGGCGAACTGTTTGGCGAAACAAATGAAAATATGAACACATTTTTTGCACCACAGATATATACCAATTGATCCCATGGCGAGGGGTTTGACCACAAATATGATGATACAAATCAGTGTCACATAAAGTCAAGTATTACTTAAGACATCGTATTGTTTGCCATTTTTGTGTGTATTTTTTGATAGGAATATATTTTTTCAGCAAATAGTTAGAGATTAATATAAATTTATTTTTGAGTTACTTATCTATAAACTGACTGTCCATTCATAATACTGTCTTTAATTTTTAAAAATGATTGAAACCCGAGATTATAAACGATATGAAGTTATCAATAATATATGCAAATAGTTATCTTAACACTCGGGGTATATATTCATAGTATTTACGGCAAACACAACACAAATGCCATGAATATTGAAAAACTACAAGAGATTTGCATTGAGTGTCTCAGAGACTACAACTACACGAGTGGCTCTTCAGGGCACTGGTAGTCAAAGACTTTTCTGAAGTGGACTTTAAGGACACGAGAAATACAGCGTTTGTTATGTTTTTGTGATTTCAATTTCGATGTCAATTCATACCATTCACTGACAAACTGTAAGTAATACTACCAATACTATAGCGTTTTACAGTGAATGGTATGTATATACCGAGGCTTTGTATCTCTCCCTACGCTCTAAGGCCTAAGTGTATCGCAAATTTCAACACTAAATACACCGCCGGCTATATTGTGTCGATACTCCTTACCAATGATACGGTAGACTCAGAGAGACAAGTAGTCTATTAGGCACTGGTAATCAACTTATCGCCACTTAATACAAAGCATGCATTTTATTAATGCAAAAGTATTAGTGTATTCAAGAATATTCACAATTTATGTATTCATAAAGTAGTTGTGAGACTAAACAATGGATTCTTGAAAAATATGTTAAGATTTTAAATATTCATTAAATATTTATTAAAACTATGAATATTTTAGTATAAATATAAGTTTAGCAAATTTTTAAACAATAGTTTATATTATAAACTAAATAGAAAATAAAAGTTAGCATGTTATATTTACCGCAATCTAATGACACCATATTAATTCATAGTGAGATTCAAACACAAATTGGTGTCACAAATATTTGTATGACTTTTTCGGTGTACAAAAGTAGACACAAATGAATAAGTGATGAGAAAATGTGTGTTTAATATGGCGCTTAAAAATAGCGAATTAAGGGGAACGGTATGTATCACAGAATCACCAAAATATTATTATATATACCAAAAACTTTAAGGCCATTCAAATTCACGTTAAAATATTTGTCGAGACAATTATGTTTTGATTAATTTTAATGTAGTGTAGGATTTTATGGTTAAATATTTTGTAGATATTTAATACCACACTCTCTGTTATACACTATATTTATGAATACAAACAGATGGAGAAGCGCACCGGGAGTCTGGGCACAGATGTAGACAAATACCATTCAATGGCCAATGATTTTGGATATAAATGTTTTTTAGTTTAATATACTTTTTATGATTTTTAATTCGGATTATTATTTAGTTTTATATTAATCACTAAAATATAGTAAGAATTTTCAAGAATTATTACAGAATTTCACACAAATCTCTATAAAATTATTGTTTATCTCAAGAATTCATCAAGCAATTTATCAATTGGCATAAAAAACGACAACAAATTAATTGTAAAAAATATTTATCGACAGCAAAAAGTCAAAAAACAATTTTCACATTTAAATCAAAATATATTTTCAAATTTATTATTATTAGAAAACGTTTGTATCGCTTATCCTATAGTTTAGTATTAAATCTCAATACAAAAAAGTATGTATAATATTGTGATATAACGGTGCGATCGGCAGAGAGCGAGGGTATTGTCTCTCAGCATCACTAGGAAAATATAGATGCGATATAATGGCAATACTACCAGTGCTTAGGCTGCCGGTGCTCACTCTCTCAGCACTTTTACATACAATCCCCGCACACAACCATATCATAGACATACACACAGCTCTGCCATTCAATTGTTTGCCATCACAGGGGCTACTGATTAGGTGGAGCTGAATGGGGAGGAGACTTATCCATCGATTGGATATATGGCACCGGCAGCTAAAACATACTGAGCCATAGAGTTAAGGCTTAGGGGAGAGAGAGACATAGATTTTTGCAGATTTTTATGTAATATTCTTGAGATATATATATATTAATAGGGAGGCTGTCGTGAAATCGTTAGGTTTTCTGTGTTTTAGGGTATAAACGGCTGTTTAGTTTTAGTTTTTAGTGTATGTGCTCTCAGTGTGTATATGACTTACACGTATAGACATAAAACATATATAAATATAATTATTATTCAAGAAATTTCTTATTTGATTTATATATATATGAATATGTGTTGCCTTTACAGCTACCGGTGCTCAGGAGAGAGAGAGAGAGAGAGAGAGAGAGAGCGAGAGAGAGAGAGCACATGAGAAAAACCATTCATTCAAATTATTTTTATGTTAATGACTAACAAAAAAATTAAATATAATTTCTATATTTTTCACATCAAATCATTAACTCGTTTTTTATACGAAATTAATTACTTAGAAATTCTGTGCTTTCATTTCAATAAGTAATTAAATTCCGTGTCTTTTGCTCTGTATATACAGTATATGTGTTTTTATAGACATTTTTATTTAGTGCTATTTTTATATAAATATTAAATTATGTATTAAATTGTGTGAATGTGTTACGCTATAATTTATTTACTATGAAATATTTTTGAAATTACTATGAATTAAATATTTATTTATTTATTAAATCAGCAATATTATTTTGCTATATAACTTTTAATATTTAAATTCATTATAGATAGCATTTATTGTGAATAAAGTATTTGTGAATAAAAACTTAAAATTGAGTTTTTAAAGAGATTTTTGTATCCGATATTAATATGAAAAGAGAAAAACCATTTTGTTTTTGTCATAAAAAGTCATTCAATCGATTGGTTACGAAGAAAAAAGAGAGAAAACATATTATTTGTCGTAAAAAGGGATGAAATGTCTGTTTATATGAAATACAGAAAAACTCTCAAAATATATTGAAAAATGAAATTAACTTCAATTCCGAGAATATTCTTGATATTAAGTAATAGCAAAAAATATAATCTTTTATTTGTCGAGAATATAACCAAAAATAATAGTATTAATAGAAAATTGTTTTGTTATATAAAACTATAACTTATATGTAATCCATATTTAATGCAATTTTCATTATTTTATAATAACTTTTTAAAAACACTATAAGAAATATAATAAGGATTTATCTGAAAGTATATAATATTTTTCGTATCGATTGTATACTACTATGTGAATAAAGATCACTGTATATTGTCTCACGGCTTATGGCGGTGGAGGGGAATGGTATGTATAATATTTGTCTCCATCGCACTGACACTGTGTGTGACATACAGGCGCTAAACTGCACAGAGAGAGATGGGCTCTTAAAACAACTTTAAGACTCTGTGTTTGTTTGAGACGTAAAGTAAAAGTTTTGCCGAAAAAATTGTATTCAAACTAAAAATCAATACAACAAACGGATCGATACTATCAGTCGATTGTATTCATAGGCATAGAGAGAGAGAGAGAGAGAGAGAGAGAGAGAGAGAGAGAGAGAGCGAAAAATACTTGTAATTCACTATTCATTATAAAAATATTTTGCGTTTGAATCGCAAACCCCTTATATCACCACAACTATGGTATATATGAGGTGATAGGGAGTACAGAGAGCACCGGTAGATCTCCATAAAGGGAAGGCCGACACAATAATGAGAGCATATGTTTATCAGTTAAAGCGATGAGAATAAGAGAGAAATACATATAAATTTCACGCGTGAGTGGCCGTCCATAAGCTACTATTGCTACTATTGGACACAACATAGTAGCACCGGTAGACTCCTGGCTAAGACGGTCGGGTACTCTACATGTATTACAATGTATTAAAATCACATTTAACTGATTCATAATAGGAGAGAGAGAGAGAGAGAGAGAGAGAGAGAGCACCGGTATGTATGGTGTTTAGTATACTATGGGTCTCCAAAGTAGATGAATAAATGTCTGAGCGCTGAGTCGCCCGACCTTTTGCCTACCAGTGCCCCATAGAAAGTGTTTTCCCAAATAGACTACATTTGTGTGACAAAAATCGGGCGGCATTTGTGTGTCTTTAATGGTCAGCAGTTTCTCAGGACTAATACGACTAAAAAGATGAGTGAGAGACTGAGCACAGGTAGGTAGTGATGGTGGGCACAGGTAGGTAGGCACTGGGCGCCAGAGTATTATATTTAAGCCACAATTTTCTACTCGAAATGAGTCCGAAATTAAAGTATTAGTCCCGAGATATGGCTATTGTCTGAACGGTATCTCCAAACAAGTGAACCGATTATTAGTTTTTATATTTTTGTTTATATCTCGCGATTACATCTAATATGAGAAAAGGGAAAGGGGTAGACTCCCGGTGCTCTACACTAAATCGATAGTGTGTTGTTTGTATGTGTGTGTGTGTGAGTCGAGAGGCTATCGGTGCCCTTTAGGAGTGGGACTACCATTGCTTTAAGTGCGCTATAAGTCTGGGCTTTTTGTGTGTTGTGTCCGACATATAATGTATGACAAAGTGTTTCGTCAAAGACTTCTGAGTCCTCAATGAGAGGCCAATACAAGCACTCATACAATACACGACAAGCCAGCAGTCGATACGGCACTGTTAGCCAAGAAAGCACTGGTAGTTCGTTGTCGTGTATACTGGCACTGGTAGGACAATCGACGGCAATCCACTTTCCGGCTTTAAGCTATTATCCCCTCTCCAGGAATTATCTCATTCTCTTCTCTCCCGTTCCTCATATGTTAGACTACCAGTGCTCTCAGTGAGCGCAGGTATAGCCACAGCGCCGGTAGTATGTCTTATGTAGCGAAAAGTGTTGGCAAATAATTATTGTCGGAAATGAGGTTTATTACTGTATTTGCATTGAAAGGTATAATAGTTTTGAATAATTTGTTTCGTTAAATGTGTTAATTTAGCTATATTTAGTTAAATACTTGGCTACCCCTCAATGGATGCCTGTGCTCTCTCTTTCTCTCTCTCTCTCTCTCTCTCTCTCTGTCTCTCTCAATGTTTAGTGTTTTGTGGACTAAGTTTTCAACTTTTTGAGAGAGAGAGAGAGAGAGAGAGATCTAGAAGTTATCCAGCATTCAAGTCGTCTCTCTCTCTCTCTCTCTCTCTCTCTCTCAATTCAAAGGCAGAGCCCTATTGTTTGCCTCCCGATAACTGCTACCCGTCCTCCCAGTCCTGCCAATGCTCTACACTATTAAAGGAGATATTCTTTTCCCCGTCTTTTTTAACGTACAACCGATCACTACAACCAAAATGTGTACTAAAATTGCTTTTCATATATAAACGTTACTCTCGGATATAGTTTACAGATATATATAAAACATATTATATTAAGAATTCTTTTGGATTTTATTATACATTAAATTCTCTAAACTAATGGCAAAAAACGCGAACAAATAGTTTGCTTTTGATATTATTATAAGAGTGGAGATAAGCCACGGAGTTTGGGCTCAAAAAATATATACATTTAAGTATTTCTTTGGCTATTAATAGTAAAAATATGTCCACAAAAGAGAGAGTGAGTGGAGAGAGAGAGAGAGAGAGAGAAGCAATTTATGATAAATTTCAATACTGTATATGAAATACATTGTGTATTCAATTGTCAATTGTGTGTCAATAATAATCATAACAGACTTTTTTGGTGTATATAATAGATATTTATGTTAATCCCATGTAAAGATTACAATCATTTTTTGAATTATACTTCAGTATTGTATTGAATCATTGAAATGGCATTTACTTTGGCAATAATAGCGATACAAATATTATTATACAATTTGAATGCTACACAAAAAACATGTATTAATATTATATAAACCTTTTCAACACAATAATAGTTTTGAATTGAGAATTATATGAAACATTGGTTTTGCATTAGAATTGTTGCCTAAAAATAGCAAATTCTTTATGGATTTCATGTGAGGCTATGTGTGTGGCAATGGCTATAGGATAGGGATGTGAGGGAATACCTAACCAC